TAAATTTTTAATTTTATTTTTGTACATATAATTCATGGTGAAAATCAAATCAGTATAAAATTCCAAGTTTATCAAATAAGATATTTTTTTTTTAAAAGTTCCACATCCAGAGTATCACTGGCTTTAATAATCTAAATTTTTATCTTTAATTACATGATGGATAATGAACACATTTTTTAATAAAGAAATGGATAGATAACAGCTACACTCTGCATTGTATTTGTTCTACAAATTAATAAAAAAAAAATCTTCAATGGTTGTGCCTTTAATACTTTTATTTTGAATTTTTTCATACAATTCAAGAATTTTACAATACTGTTTATGCTGACTAAGTCTATTTTAAATCACAATTCTTTATTAATTTAATTTTCAAAGAATGTTTTTATTTATGAAATCAAATATAAAAAAATTTGATTAATGATTTCATTATTATGACCTTATTTGTCATACATAATAGGAGCTGAAATTTCAATAATTCTACATTAATTTAAATATTTTATTTGAATTCAAAATGGTATAACCTAGCCCCAGCCTTGTTCAAAAGTTATTGTAATAGGTATACAAACAACAGGGGGATTGAAAGGTGTGAATAACATCCCCCAGGTGTTGTATACAGGTATACCAGGGACGTATCTCTACAGGACTCTGTGTATATACACAATAAACATGGGTGTCAGGAAAACTTACCAAGTTGTTGTTAAAATACATAAAACAACAGTAAAACTATTTTAGTTTGTAAGAAACAAAGTAATAATATACTAGAATAAAATAAAACATACTTTTACTTGTATTTAGCGTTAATATACGTTGGAAGAATATTTTCAAACGAAACTTAAAAATTCAAGTAAAACTGAAGAACAAATTAAATTCAGAAATAACATCATATTAATTTAACTTCCTTAATATAAAAATATTGTCACAAATATCTATTTTTTTTTTTTAGAAAGATAGTTAGCTTTCAGTAGTAATCAAGCATTGTCAACATAGTTCTTGGCCATTGTTTACATTTGAACAGAGTTATCGTTCTTGACTGTGGTCTGAAATCTTCAATCGTATATTAAACACACTAAAAACATTTTATAAAAACTTTTTTTGATATATTATCATATAAATATAATATTCTTTTAAAATTACCCTTTATTATATGTATTTATTGGCCCTTTTGCTGTGGGACTCACGTAGGACTCATGTGGGACTTATTTTCTCCGTGGGACTTGTTTTAGTATCAGCGAATTTTACCTCAGAATCGACGGAAATCGGGCGCCATTACGAGTTTACCGTACACCACGCCCGATCTAAATTCGAAGCGAGCTGTTTGTCAATATAATAAGATAATATTAAAATAATTCATAATAATTTCCACAATTATATTTGTTTTACAATGATAATAGTAAAATATTAATTATGTAATATTTGTTTTACAATGATAATAGTAAAATATTAATTATGTAATAAGTATTTAACAAAAAAATGTAAGGACGTTAGCCATTAAGAAAATATGAATTTGTGTATTAATTATTATTCATATTATCCCAATGTTACCAGCTCTAGCCACGTGGAGGCCTCCTTTTTGTAGAGCCATAATTTTCAAAGCAACTTTAACAAAAAAAAAAAAAAAAATAGTAAAGATAATTCATTACTTATTTGTTACAAAGAGAACAAAAAAATAAATAAAATTCAAAATATGAAAATACTGAATTTATTTTTTTTTTAGACAAATTCTGAATGTAGGGATATAAATTTGAAATTCAAAGGTTCAAAGCAACAATAATAATTAAAAATAAAAATTATATTTACTAATATGTTACAAAGAGAACAAAAAATAAATCAATGTCAAAGACCTTGGTGTCATTGATTTTAAAGACCCAAATTAGTTCAGTATGCATATACTAAGTATATAGTCTCTATTTCTCCTGGTTCTTAATTTATGGCAAATATTCAATAAAACTATTTTTAGCATATAGGTCACAGTTAAGGTCACCAGGTCATTGACCTGGGTGTAATTTGAAAGGACTTAATAAGTGGAATATGCATACCAAATATGAAGTCTCTATAGAGACCAATGATATATATATATATATATAAATGGTTCAAAAAAAATAACAAACTGCAAAGGTTATAGATTACAAACAGATTGGACAAAAACAATATGCACCCTAATCTATCAATCCGGGCACATAAAAAATGTGTGTATAAAAAATATTAATATGCCACTGTAAAAATGTCCAGCAACTCTGCATTAATTTTCAAATAACCTTATAATTAGCTGCCCATCACATATTCCCTAATGCCAATCAGTATAATTAAGAAATAAAGTCCGCGTTTTCGTGAATGTTGAAGAATAACCTCCGCGAGGTCGAGAAATGTTGTTTGAAAGATAAAAGCCGAGGCGTCAAACAACATTTCGAGACCGAGGAGGTTATTCTGCATCATTCACGACAACAAGGACTTTATTTCTATTCTTCCATGTCTACTAAAAATCGCTAAAATACGGCTGATCGTTTCCTCTATGGTTTTTAAATGGTTCTGAAAAAATGGTTTCGGAAAATTAAAAGATAGAGAAATGTAGAAAAAATGGTTTTGAATTGAAAAATGGAAAGAAAATGCTGAATGAATGGAGATAAAATGGAAAAATGCCATTTCTTTTTGCTATGGGTGTACTTTCCTGGATCCATAGTACCACAAATCATTTGCCTAAACAGACTTCCAGAGTTCAGAGGCCAATAATCAATCAGTCTTAAACCAAAAAACAAAACCAAAAATGTTTTTAAGATTGTATATTTATTATTTTTTCTAGAGGAGGGTTAGTATCAGGCAGTATTCCTCCCCCGCCAGACGGGTGCAGACCAGTGAATACTGTTTGGTGTTGTGTTAGGTTAGAACTTAGAATAGGGTTAGTATCAGGCAGTATTCCTCCCCCGCCAGACGGGTGCTGACCAGTGAATACTGTTTGGTGTTGTGTTAGGTTAGGTTAGGAATGTTATTGTTTTTTTAAATGTTGCTAATTAAATTATAAATTCCTTTCTCTAACATTTTTATTATGTTATTTTATTTCATGTATATTACTTTCATTTGGCTGTAATATTTTTATATATGAACAAAAGATTGACTAGGAATAATAATCCAGTATCTTTAAGTTTTTTAAAAATCTTTTTAAAGTTTTTTTTAATTTTTTATCTTTCGGTCATCTTTCGGTCCTTTGGTTTTAATATTTTGTTTCAAAATTCAAATCATGACTCTACACTTAAGGAGGCCTCCACGTGGCTAGAGCTGGGAACATAAGGAAACTATGAATATTTTCAGTTATTACTAATTTAAAAGGTCTTTATTTATTAATTTGTCATGAATTATCAAAATTATCAAAATTCATATTTTCCTTATGTGTGTGCTAACGTCCTTAAAATGAAATTATGTAAAGCATAACTGTACAATTGAGAATAGTAAAGGTTCAATGTATATACACATGCCCTGCCAGAGGGGGTTGGTCAGACTAGCTGGGAACCCAGGTGTTTAAACAAAAGGTGTTTATTATCAAGTTGACCAAGTGTCATCAGCTGTGTATATAGTGCATGTACACACACAGGGGTGCCTGTCTATCCCAGTACAAAACAACAGAGCTAGCTGAGGTGTGAATAATATATTCTCACAATAATGTTACAATACCAACTGTACAAGGATTCACATATGCAACATGCACATTTTTATTATTTTTTTATCAGACTTTTTTATTTCATAGACCTGGATTCTAATAATTTCATTGTGATGGATACAGGTTGCTTTCTCATATCAATGAGTATATTTTTTTTCTATTACTTGCATAAAAAACAAAACAAAACAAAACAAAAAAAACAAACCAAAAAAACAAAAAAAAAACAAAACAACACACTCTCCCCCCCCCCCAAAAAAAAACAGAACCAAAAACATTAAAACAAAAAATTAGTAACTGGAAAATAATAATGAATGAATACTGAATTTAAAAATTAATTATTAAACATAGAAGAAAACATTTCAAAACAAACACCTTAATTAAAAATTAAATAAATTAACAAATTCATTCATTAGTTAATTTAATTTAATTACATGTTATAAATGATTGGAATTGAGAAAAATTACTTTATTCCTTGATTAATGGACTAATTAAATTCATTAAAAAAAAAACCATTCAATTAAAAATTTCACTGTAATGTCTTTCATTATAATAATTACATTAACAGATTCATTCATTATTTAATTTAATTTAATTACATATTATAAATAATTGGAATTTATAAAAATGACTTTATTTCTTGATTAATGGACTAGTTAAATTCATTAAAAAAATTCAATTAAACATTGCACTGTAATGTCTTTCAACATGATAAATATTTCATATTTCTTTTATATTCTTAAGGTTTCCTTACAAATAATTTTTTTAAAAATAATATTCATACATAATTTGATATTCATATTGATCAAGATTACAGTAATTATTTCCACGGATTACTCGAAACGACTTCAGCGATCGCGAATTTAGATCGGGCGTGGTGTGCAGTATATCAAGACAAGAAGAAACCCGTCGATTCTGAGGTAAAATTGGCTATAAAAATTTACGGATGTCAATATCATTCAATTAAACATCACCTTAGGCCTTATAGTACCCCATTACATTCAATTTTATGGGGTTTCCACCACTTTATTGGGGTTTCACCCCTCCTGTATGGGTATTCTCCAAAAATCGGGGGGTTTCGGGTTTTTCCAGTCACCCAAAATTAAGGCAGAAAGGGATTTGACATAGGCTATATTGACTGTACCTACTGTCCTGCAGCTTCCACATGTACTTCTCTCATCATAAATGATTTTGTTTTTCACAGATTTAAATAATTAAATAAATTGTTTAAAACAATAAATACATGAACGTACAAAATAGAGAGACATTCCTCGGTCTTTTCCGTCATGTTCCGACAACTCCCGACAAGCCCAGTGGCGTAAAAATGAAAGTAGATTTTGGCCAACCAATGAAAATGCAGTTAACAAAATATTTGTGCCGCGAGATGTAAACACAAAGCCAACGAATGAAAGATTGAAAGAAATGCTTTTTCAAATGGAAAATCAGAAATTATAAGATATGAATTTGGAACTTTTAGGTATAATCTTTGTAGATTATATATATTTAGACAACTGGATGCATTGACTTATATAATAAGAATTATCTACCATCAGATTACAGAAAATGAAAGATAACTTGGTATATTTCGAATTGCCTCGTCAGTATTTTTTTAATATCAGGGTTGATTATGATAATTTTTAGAGGACTTAAACAATGGGTACTAATTGTTTCACTTTGAGTGACATGACTGTGGTTAATCATGAACCTTTTTTAAAGATTGTTTCCAATTCTTCAGTAAATTAATGATTGAGAATTTAATTCAGTTTTGTTTCTTTTTTTAGAATCTTTTGGGCAGAACTACCCAGAGGTATGTTTACTTATTTACAGGTCTTGCTTTCTGTAGTTAGGCCCTGAATTACTTTAACTAAGAAAAGAAACAATCAGGTAGTGCAATACAGTATTGGGTAGGGTAATAATTACATGAAATATTATTGTCATGTGTGATAACCAGGTCCAGTCCAAAGACTATTTCTACCTACGTAGCTATTAAAAGCTACGTAGGTATTTAAACCTACCCAAAGTAGCTATTTTTACCTACTTTCTGCTTTACTTGCATTTTGTGGTCAAACACAGGAATGGCGCAACATGGTGAGCACTGAATTTATTGATACAGTCACACTGATGATGGATTTGACGGAAATTTGGCCAAAAAATGATTACTTCGTATATTATCAATTTTGCATAGAAAGTAATGTAAAATTGCCCATTCAGGAAGTAATCCTTTTTTGGTCAAAATTTTGTCGTATTCATCATTAGTGTGACTGTATAAAAAAAATATGGTATTTACCATGTTGCGCCATTCAGTCCTTTGGCCACGAAATGTAGATAATACAAAAAGTAGGTAAAAATAGCTACTTTGGGTAGCTTTAAATACCTACGTAGCTATTAATAGCTACATAGGTAGAAACAGTCTTTGGACTGGACCTGATAACATGCATTGTGCAATTGAGTGCAACAATGGTTTTCAAGGGATATAAAAATCATCAAAAAGATAAACTTCTCTTTTGTAATGTCATTGAACTCTGAATCTGCTTCAATTTGACTCACCAAAATTAACTCTTTGATCAATTATGGAATCAGAGCCAGCAAAATACATGCCAATTTTTACATCCTCTATGGAAACTTGCAACACAGTACCCTGTACGGGGTAAATGAAAACGTGAAGGCACACTGCGTACTCTCTCTATGATAAAAACGAAATATGACATCACAATGCATTGTAGTTATCTTATTAATAGATTGAGGCACAGGTGATAAGACTCTGATGTTTACAAAGAATTTTTATGGGTACATATGAAATAAATTCTTTATCCAGGTCCAATCAAAGGTGTACAGGGATTTACCCCGGGTTGTATTCCATACATATGTATGGAATAAAACCCAGGGTAAATCCCCGTACACCTTTGATTGAACCTGAATAACTAATAGTATCTCAATATCTGTAAGGTGTTGATATTATAAAATTCTTTAAAGAAAAACAAAATTATCTTCAAGTGATTATGTAAATAACAGGTACATGTATGTCATTCATTCGTAGGATTTTGATGGAGCCTTGGACTGCATCAGCATTGCCATTACCTGTGCCTTCAACAGACAGGGAACCTTATTAGCTGTGGGTTGTAACGATGGTAGAATTGTCATATGGGATTTCCTGACAAGAGGAATTGCCAAAATAATTAGTGCTCATGTCCATCCTGTATGCAGTCTAAGGTATTTGTACCCCTTGATTTCTTTTATTGAGTGCAGTACTATGTTTTCTGTAGAACTTCCTTGAAACACAGAAGACCCAAAAAGTCAGAAATGTAAATTGACATTAACATGTATTTGACATAGCAGTCAAACCCTGTTATGTCGAACTGGATGGGAAAAATCTTTGAGATATCCAAGAGATATGCTACCCACACATCAACTCACAAATTTGTATCTATGATACAGAACCCTTGTCATTCTCTAAATAATATTTAGCAAAGTTTTTTTTTTAAATAATGTTCTTTGTAATTAATACATCATTTTAAAACCTTTGTTTATTGAATATTCCTTATTGCTATATTTGAAAATAGTATTCTGGTACATGTATTACATGTATGCTAATTAAAACAATATATCAGGAAGAAAATATTTGAAAAATTTTCTGCTACTGTTCTCTAGCTGGAGTCGGAATGGAAAGAAACTGTTAAGTGCGGCGACAGACAACACAGCGTCAATATGGGACGTGGTGTCAGCAGAGTGTGATAAAACATTCAGGTTTCCTTCCCCCATCCTGAAAGTGCAGTTTCATCCTCGTGATAGGTACTGTTGCTGATTGACTTACTAAATTATAATGGAAATATACATATAGTAGAAAAGTATACATACGTTTTTAGTTTTCTAAATCTAGATTTGAGATTTGAAAGATAAATGAAATTTGCATCTCTTGGGGGCTTAGATTTCTTAATCCAAAATGATTTATTCAATTGTATTTCATTTCAAATGTCTATAATAATCATATTATAAATATTTATATTTTCTAAAACTTATTTTTCTTTCTCCAGTAAACAGTTTCTTGTGTGTCCAATGAAGCACCCTGCTGTACTAATGAACATCAGTGGAGAACACAGAGTTGTCCCTCTGGATGATGATGTAAGATTGTAGCCAAAGAAATCCATAGACTATCAAGGGAACATTTCATCATTTTCAGAAAAATAGAACTTGCAATGAATAATTTTAGGTTTCAAGCTGTTGCTTGGCATTCATAATTATGTGAAGATTAGATTGTTTATCTTTTTAAGATTGTGTAGCTTTCATTGAACATCTAGGGGTATGTTTTCTGTTTCAGTCTGACCTGAACATTGTTGCCTCCTATGACAGAAGAGGTAAACACATCTACACAGGAAATGCCAAGGGCAGGGTAAGTCACATAACTGTCTTCTTTCTGATGCAATTTCAAACATACTACACTCAGTCACTATTGTGTAACGTCCAGCATATGGATGTTTATGTAATAACTTATTTCTTTGATAGATCTTGGTATTTACCTGCAACAATTTGGATCTGAAGGCATCGTTTAGGGTAACAACTGGAACACTCAACACAACTGCCATTAAATCCATTGAGTTTGCTAGAAGGGGGGAGTAAGTTTCTGATTTCTTTTGTCAAAAAAGTTGCTTGCAATGAAATGAAACACCAAATAAAAGTTGGGAAAATTTGCTATTGATGAGGACATGAATCTCAATCTAAAACATGAATTAACATCTTTTCTTTTTGCAGGTGTTTTCTGGTAAATTCAGCAGACCGTATCATCCGAGTTTACGAGAGTGGGGAGGTCCTTGCCTGCGGTAAAGACGGAGAGCCAGAGCCAATCCAAAAACTTCAGGATCTGGTCAACAAGTAAGGCACCAGAGCTTCTAAAAAATGTCACATATTTGTACCGTTGTTGTGGTAAAAAATTATCCCAACAAATGAACAGAAATGCAAGATCTATGACCAGTACTTTTTATCTGCCTTTATCAGAATCATTATTGAATATAAAATTCAGTAATTTATAATAAAACATATAACAATACAGTGATTTTTCTACATTTTTTAAAAGGGGCCTGGGCCTTTAGAATTGGGGAAAATCGTCGACATTTGTATCAAATTGGGAAAAATGTTTAAAATTGTCATGTAACCTAAATTGGCAGGTAAAATAAACTATGTAAGTAAATGTAACATCATTAATCAATTTATTTGCTACAAAATAATAAATTAAACACAGTTCTATATTTTTAACCTTTTTTAAAATCTTTGAAAGTGTTATTGTGACTATATCAGTATACATGTATTTCCTTTTTTGCTCTGACATTATGGTAGACATAAGAGAAAATCCTTCTTGTAATAGCCATGGTTTAAGATACAATAATCTGACATGATTTATTACAAATCATTTATTTTTCAAAGTAATTATTAAAGCTTTCTAATTACTCTAGCTAAACATAATGCTGCAATTTTTCTCTGCAATACTAGTTGCATCTGCCATATGTAGAAACAGTTTGATTTTCCTGGAATCAGGGATGCTTCTTGTAGAACTATTAGTACTTGGATTTACAAATAAAGCTATGTTTCACCGGTTAACATGCATCTTACACTTTCTAACGATGTATTTACACACAAGTTTGACAAGGAGACCCATGTGTTTTTCTAGGTCTTGTAAACGCTTTGAGTAATCTGCTGTTCCTTACTGTTGTTAGAAGAGTCTTAGTGACTGAGAACAATAGCGTTCCATTTTAGATAAGTCGTACGTAAAAAAAATTCAATATAACAAAAACAACGATTTTGTGTTGGGAAAAAAAGCAACAGACATTGGGAAAAAATCGGTAATTTTTGAGAGGGGAACAGGCCGATATTCGGACCTAAATTAGGTGTAGAAAAATCACTGCAATAGAACACATTTTAATTAAACAAAGGATTTCATTGTTGTGAATTAAAAACTGTTCTCTCCAGACTTTTGTGGAAGAAGTGCTGTTTTTCGGGGGATGGGGAATTCATTGTGGCAGGGTCTGCCAGACAACATTCACTCTACATTTGGGAGAAGAGTGTAGGTAATCTGGTCAAAATCCTCCACGGAACGAAAGGGGAACTCCTGCTGGATGTGGTGGTAAGAAATGCTGGTGTAAACAAAAATCTCATTACAAATGTACATCTATACATTAAGCATTCTGTGTTATCATGTTAATGAAGAACAGAACGTAAGGTTCTTTATATAAGTATTTCATTGCAGTGGCATCCTGTACGACCAATCATAGCCTCAATATCCAGTGGTCTGGTGTCAATATGGGCTCAAAATCAAGTTGTAAGTATTATACAATACATCATTTACAAGAAAGGAAACACAGATCCTGCAGATCCTGTTAAGTACACATGTATTTACTTGTACTCGTAAAATGCCTTTTAACAAAAATAAATAACTTGATGGTATTTTAAGCATTTCTTGCTATTGATAGGAAAACTGGAGTGCGTTTGCACCAGATTTTAAGGAATTAGATGAGAACGTAGAGTATGAAGAGAGAGAGTCAGAGTTTGATGTCGAGGATGAGGACAAAGAAAAAGAGGAAACTAAAGGTAAGTCTAAAAATAACAAAAAGGATAAAAATTTCTCTTAATACAATTCCTAATTTTTGTAATAATAAATAAATTCAAAGTCTCAAAGTAAAAGTTGTTTATTTTCTAAATTTTAGCTAACCCCCGTGTTCCATCACAGGGGCTTGCATGTGTAGAGAAAATAAATCAGTTAAAAAAATTAGTACCTCGGAGAAAAAAAACACTCCGAGGTACTAATTTTTTTACCTGATTTATTTTCTCTACACAAGCCTCTGTGGTTCCATATCACAAAGGTTCTTTTAACCTTTTTATATAAAATATTTTCTATATCATATTCACAAAGTATTATAACCGAAAAATCCCAAATTTAAGCTATTAAAAACCAGCCTTATATAAAATTTCATACCCTGATCATGTTAAAAGTGTACACTTATTATGTTCCCCAAACGAAGTTGGGGAACATATTGTTTTTACTCTGTTTCTTATTATTATTATTCTTATTATGTTCCCCAAACGAAGTTGGGGAACATATTGTTTTTACTCTGTTTCTTATTATTATTATTCTTATTATTTTTCTTCTTCCTGGGAAAATTTTGTCCACGAGTGATCTTGGAAACTACACATCCGACTTAGATGAAACCTTTTTAGGGTCAGTAGGCATGTTATGTAGAGTTGCCAATCAAAGGTCATTTTGCGCGCACGTGCTTGCAAGAGCGCGCACGTGCAACAGGTGAAATTACCAATAAAATGGATATTGCCGTAACTTTTCTATTCTTTGATGAAATTTTTTGAAACTTATAATGTAAGGATGTAAGGATACATTAGTAGTATAGACAAGATAGCATGGTCAAAATAGCAAGATCTCACGCGCATGCACGTGTGCTTCGCTCTGATTGGCTGAAACTAAAGTCTCAATAACTTTCTTGTTTCTTGTCATAATCCTTTGAAATTTTGAACATAGTCCTACATTATAATGATCTACCGCACGATATATAAGAATTTTCATGAAAGCATGCGCATGTGCGTGTGCTGCAAGCTGATTGGCTGAAACTTTAAATGGCAATATCTCCTTTGTTTTTTGACGAAATTCTTTGAAATTTAAAATATAGTCATGCATTAGGATATCCTACAAAATGATATAGAAAAAAAAATCATGAAATCACGCGCATGCACGTGTGCTGCAATCTGATTGGCTGAAACTTTAAATGGCTATTTCTCCTTTGTTTTTTGACGAAATTCTTTGAAATTTAAAATATAGTCATGCATTAGGATATCCTACAAATGATATAGAAAAAAAATCATGAAATCACGCGCATGCACGTGTGCTGCAATCTGATTGGCTGAAACTTTAAATGGCTATTTCTCCTTTGTTTTTTGACGAAATTCTTTGAAATTTAAAATATAGTCATGCATTAGGATATCCTACAAAATGATATAAAAAAAATCATGAAATTACGCGCATGCACGTGTGCTGCAATCTGATTGGCTGAAACTTTAAATGGCTATAACTCCCTTGTTTTTCAACCAAACAGGATGGGATTTAGAACATTGATAGATGTAAGGGACTCCTACAAGAAGGTATGATCATCATGCACGTGCACGCACGTGCGTGCATTTGAAACGAGTATATTTAAAAATACTCTTGAATGAGTGATTTTTATCACTTTTGGACTGAATGCTTTAATATATAGTATATGGTCATAACGCACATGCATTCACATGCGCTTGGGTGCAATGCTAAAAATTGAATATAATTGGTATCCTTCTGGGAAAACGTTGTTAAAGTCAAAAATGCACAGTGTTTGTCTTATTTAATGAAGCTTACAGGGAATATGGCACTGAAAGGGAGCTGGGGAGCGTTTGGGGAACATCTGTAACGGTTCCCGTTACAATTAGCACTAGTTATGTTCCCCAAACGAAGTTGGGGAACATATTGTTTTTACTCTGTTTCTTATTATTATTATTATTATTTTTCTTCTTCCTGGGAAAATCTTTTCCGCGAATGATCTTGTAAACTACACATCTGACTAAGGTGAAACCTTTTTAGGGTCAGTAGGCATGTTATGTAGATTTGCGGAACGAAGGTCATTTTGCGCGCACGTGCTTGCAAGAGCGTGCACATGCAACGCGTGAAATGACCAATATAATGAATATTGCCGTAACTTTTTAAATTTTAGATAAAATGTTTTGAAACTCATAATATAAGGATATATTAGTAGCATAGACAAGATGACATGGTCAAAATTGCAAGATCTCACGCGCATGCACGTGCGCTTCGCTCTGATTGGCTGAAACTAAAGTCTCGATATCTTTCTTGTTTTTTGATAAAATCATTTGAAATTTTGAATATAGTCATACATTAGGGAGATCTAAAGCCTGGTATAAAAGAATTGTCATGAAAGAATGTGCATGCACGTGTGCTTGCAAGAGCGCGCACGTGCAACACTAGAAATGTCCAATATAATTGATATAAACGTAACTATTTAATTTTTTTATGAAATGTTTTGAAAGTTATAATATAAGGATATATCAGAAGCATAGACTAGATGACATGGTCAAAATAGTAAGATCTCACGCGCATGCACGTGCGCTTCGCTCTGATTGGCTGAAACTAAAGTCTCAATATCTTTCTTGTTTTTCGACAAAATCCTTTGAAATTTTGAACATGGTTATAAATTATAAAGATCTACAGCATGCTATATAAGAATTATCATAAAAAGCATGCACATGCACGTGTGCTGCAATCTGATTGGCTGAAACTTTAAATGTCTATAACTTTCTTAGTTTTCAACGAAACGGGATAAAATTTAGAATATGAATAGGTATCATAGATTCCTACATAATGGTACTATCAAAATTGAATGCACGAACATTCTTTCATGCAAGTGCGCGCGCGAAATACGCAAAAGGGCCAATATTTTTAAAAAACATTAAAATGTATATTGTAAAGATTTTTTTATTTATTCTCACGATATATAGATATGCTAATTGTTTAGACAACATGCTATGATCATCTTGCATGTACATGCACGTGCGTGCGCGTACAATGCGTTAAATGACATATAGTTGATATCATTATACCTTTTATAATTCTTTGATTAAATTCTTCGATACTGATCATATTTTGTAAAATGTCGTACAGGAATTAGGCACAAAAAGGGATTTGGGGAGCGTTTGGGGAACATCTGTAACGGTCCCCGTTACAATTAGCACTAGTTATGTTCCCCAAACGAAGTTGGGGAACATATTGTTGTTACGCTGTTTCTTATTATTATTATTCTTATTATTATTATTATTATTTTTCTTCCTGGGAAAATCTTTTCCGCGAGTGATCTTGTAAACTACACATCCGACTTAAGTGAAACCTTTTTAGGGTAAGTAGGCATGTTATGTAGATTTGCGGAATCAAGGTCATTTTGCGCGCACGTGCTTGCAAGAGCGCGCACGTGCAAAACTTACAATGACCAATATATAATGGATATAACCGTAACTTTTCGATTTTGTGACGAAATGTTTTGAAACTTATAATGTAAGGATATATTAGTAGTATGCACAAGATGATATGGTCAAAATAGCAAGATCGCACGCGCATGCACGTACACTTCGCTTTGATTGGCTGAAACTAAAGTCTCAATATCTTTTTTGTTTTTTGATAAAATCATTTGAAATTTTGAACATAGTCATACATTAGGGAGATCTACAGCCTGCAATATAAGATTTATCATGAAAGCATGTGCATGCACATGTGCTTGCAGGAGCTCGCACGTGCAACACGAGAAATGTCCAATTGATACAGACGTAACTATTTAAATTATTGATGAAATGCTTTGAAATTCATATTATAAGTATATATTAGAAGGATAGACAAAATGACATGGTCAAAAAAGTAAGATCTCACGTGCATGCACGTGCGCTTCGCTCTGATTGGCTGAAACTAAAGTCTCAATATCTTTCTTGTTTCTTGTCATAATCCTTTGAAATTTTGAACATAGACCTACACTATGAAGATCTACAGCGTGATATATAAGAATTTTCATGAAAGCATGCGCATGCCCGCATGCTGCAATCTGATTGGCTGAAACTTTAAATGGCTATATCTCCTTTGTTTTTGACGAAATGCTTTGAAATTTAAAACATAGTCATGCATTGGGATATACTACAATATGATGTAGAAAAAAAATCATGAAATCACGCGCATGCACGTGTGCTGCAATCTGATTGGCTTAAACTTGAAATGGCTATAACTCCCTTGTTTTTCAACCAAACAGGATGGGATTTAGAATATAGATAGATATAAGGGACTCCTACAAGAAGGTATGGTCATCATGCACGTGCACGCACGTGTGTGCATTTGGAACGAGTGAAATGAAAAATACGTTTGAAAGAGTGATTTTTCATACTTTTGGACTGAATGCTTTAATATATTGTATATTAAGATATGTAGATAGTGTAGACAAGACGATATGATCATAACGCACATGCATTAACATGCGCATGGGTGCAATGCTAAAATTTGAATATAATTGGTATCCTTCTGAGAAAACATTGTTAAAGTCAAAAATGCACAGAGTTTGTCTTATTTAATGAAGCTTACAGGGAATATGGCACCAAAAAGGAGTTGGGGAGCGTTTGGGGAACATCTGTAACGGTCCCCGTTACAATTAGCACTAGTTCTTATTATTATTATTTTTCTTCCTGGGAAAATTTTGTCCGCGAGTGATCTTGTAAACTACACATCCGACTTAGGTGAAACCTTTTTAGGGTAAGTAGGCATGTTATGTAGATTTGCGGAATCAAGGTCATTTTGCGCGCACGTGCGTGCAAGAGCGCGCACGTGCAAAACTTAAAATGACCAATATATAATGGATATAACCGTAACTTTTCTACTTTGTGACGAAATGTTTTGAAACTTATAATGTAAGGATATATTAGTAGTATGCACAAGATGACATGGTCAAAATAGCAAGATCGCACGCGCATGCACGTGTGCTTTGCTCTGATTGGCTGAAACTAAAGTCTCAATATCTTTTTTGTTTTTTGATAAAATCATTTGAAATTTTGA